TGCAGGTGCAGGTGCAGGTGCAGGTGCACGTCCAGGTGCAGGTCCAGTTGCAGGTCCAGGTCCAGGTCCGTCCGCACAGACGTTTTATTAAACTCATTGTTACTGTAATTCAGGAGGTCATGTTGTAGGGCTCTGGCAGTGCTCCTCCTGTTCCTCCTCACACAAAGGAGCAGATAGCGGTCCTGCTGCTGGGTTGATGCCCTTCTACGGCCCTGTACAGCTCTCCTGGTGTAACAGCCGGTCTCCTGGTATCTGGTATCAACCTGATTGGGCTGCAGGTGCCGCCTCATGCTACCAGCAGTGCCAAGGACACTAGCAGAAGACCAAACTAGAGAAGAGTCAGTCAGGAAGGATCAGGAGAGAGCAACTGTCTGTGGACACCACATGTAAAACCAGTGAGGTTCAGTTTGTGTGTCAGAGTGTGTGTTTCTATTTCAGTGTCACATGAACAGACTGAGACACAGTGTGGTCGGGGGGGGGGGTGTTGTTTCATTTCCGTCTCTTACAGTCAGACTGTCACCATCCGTCTTCACTCAGACAGGTAGGAACAAACTCACATTTATATTCATATATTGATCATATATTGATCATATATTGATCATATATTGATACACAGATTAACTTCACGCTCTGGACAGCTCTGAGCTCTGACACTGTCCTCTGTCCTGAGACACTGTGGGGACGTCCTCCTGCTGTGAGACACTGTGGGGACGTCCACTCAGTCCCTTCTGCTTCCTTCCAGATGAAATTAATCAATAAGACTGTGACAGTATTAATAATCAATAACTGATCATCAGTGAATCAGCTGATCAATAATTAATGTAATTATATCGAGCTGTGCTGCAAAAAATATTTTCAGTTTTTACTTCAATGAAAGTAGAAATATAAACATTTAAAACTACAGTTACAGTAAAAGTATCCGAGTATTATCAGCTGAATGTAATTAGAGTATTTAAAGTACTCATCCGTCTGTTACAGCTGATTATTGTTGTAAATATTTGAGTGAGAGCAGACACACACACACACACACACACACACACACACACCACTGAAAGTGTGCGTTTCCTCCTCACAGTGACTGACAGCTGAGGGGGCGGAGCCAGCAGAGACGACAGCAGCCATGTTGGTTCTTCTTTGGTTACTGATCCTGATGACGACGATGATGATGAAGAGTGACGGTCAGAGTCTCATAGAGTCATGGGTTGTTTCCATGGTAACTGACTGTCAGAGCTGTCATGTGATAATGAGGTGTGTGTGTGTGTGTGTGTGACCTTTGACCCCAGCGGCCTCTGCAGAGATCGTCACAGCACGCAGTGGCGGCGCCGTCCTGCTGACGCCACCCCTGCAGACGCCGAGGAACAGACAGGACGTCAGGTGGACCCACCCCCGCCTGGTGATGTCACTGAAGAACAACGTGACCACGTGTCATCACGGGCGCTGCGAGCTGCTGAGCGACGGCTCGTTGAGCTTCAGCCGCGTTCAGAGCGACGACTCAGGGAGCTACAGCCTGGAGGTGTTTGACCAGGAAGGGATGCGACTGCTGAGGAAGGACTTCCTGCTCACTGTGGAGGGTGAGGACCACCATGTCCCCTCTGTCCCCCATAGTCCCCCCTGTCCCTACTTGCCACATAGTCCCCCCTGTCCCTACTTGCCACATAGTCCCCTCTGTCCCCCATAGTCCCCCCTGTCCCTACTGTCCCCATAGTCCCCCCTGTCCCTACTTGCCACATAGTCCCCCCTGTCCCTACTTGCCACATAGTCCCTACTGTCCCCATAGTCCCCCCTGTCCCTACTGTCCCCATAGTCCCCCCTGTTCCTACTGTCCACATAGTCCCTTCTGTCCCCATAGTCCCCACTGTCCCCTCTGTCCCTACTGTCCCCATAGTCCACATTGTCCCCTCTGTTCCCCCTGTCCCTACTGTCCCCATAGTTCCCTCTGTTCCTACTGTCTCCTCTGTTCCCTCTGTCCCCACTGTCCCTATAGTCCCCCATGTCCCCTCTGTCCCTACTGTCTTCATAG